GTAAACATTTAAAAGATCATATTCTGTTAATTGCAGGTTAAATTTAAAATATCAAAAAACTATAAACAATGATACTGTGTTTTTAATAGAAAAAAGTCTATGTCTGAATTGTTATTTTTGTTTAACTTAATATATGGCATTTTAGGTAAAACAACAGCTAATAAGTTGAAAGGGAGGATAACTCAATATCTATCATTTATAAAATGTTTTCGGTTCCTAAGCAGATATACATCTGATAATAATTTCATGATGTAGACATAATTTAACATTACCATAATATTCTTTTGTGAATTCATAGAAATAGAAATAGAAATATTTTGCAAATCATTGATTGAAATTTAATATTTTCATTCCTAACAAAGAATAATATAATTGTAGCAAAATCTATTTTCTTAAAAGAATTTTGAAGTTTTCAGTCATCATATTTCTTCATTATATTAAAATAACAATATATCTTACAATTTCCAAATTATATTTTTGATTAGTAATTATTTTTTTGTCATATTTATTAAAAATTAGAACAATTCAATTATTTATTATTCATATTTAAGCTTTTCAACTAAAATCAAGTTCACTTAAAAAATATATCGATAATATTTTTATTGTTAATTCAATAATGAAAAAGGCAATTTATTTAATAAAAATAAAGTATTTAAAGTACTGATTGTTATGAATGATAATAAATTAATTTTTTTTACAAACTATGAAAAAATGAATGAATTAATATATTATTTTTCTATATAATAAAAATAATCAATATATATTGCAATTGCTTTTTTAATTTTTTGTTCTTTTGAATAAATCAATCTCTTTATATTATCTAATTTAAATTTATTTAGATTTACTATCCCATGTTATCAAAAATTCTCCATTTTGATTCATAGTACCAAATATGTTGCCTAGCCAATTATTTGGAAATTAAAAATCAATTGCTTGCATCAAATGACCGTCGAATTTTGATGAGTTTATTTATAATTATATTAGATTTAAATTATACCCATTTTTAGAAAGAAAAATTAGTTTAGATGGAACAAAAATACAAGGAAATAAAAATGTACAAAATTATGTCTAACCTGATATAGGAAATTCATTAATTTTCAAATATTATCCTTTAGTTGAATCATAAGAGTAAAGTTCAAGATAACTTGCTTACCAAGGTTAAAATGCAAAAGTATCTTTAGAAATAAATGATAATCTTACTCCATATCCTTATATTTTTTAAATAACATTCCATTTATATTTATGTATATTTATTATGATTAGAATCTGATGATCTTCTCCACAAGAAATTAAAGTATTAGCTTCTTTATTTAATGATAATCCAGAAACAGTATTAGAATGATCTATTATAGTTTATTAACATTTCCATTGTTAATACTATTGATACCAAAATTTTATGGTATTGTCCTTAGAACCACTAATTATTAATGGATGATTAAAAAAGCTAAGAATCAGACATTATATGTTTGAGGAATGCTCTTTCAATTTAAACATAAATTTAGGATTAGATTATAAAATTTAAGACCATAATTATATACAATTTGATCCAGAAATGATAAAAGACATCTATTTTGAAAAATTAAGAGTAGTAATCCAAGCTTGATGTTTTTAAATTATTTGAATTTTCTTTATATCTCCATCCTTGAATTAAAATAAATTAAAGTTAGATTCTGAACTTGCTACTAAAAATTTTGTATCATCATCAATAGCAATAGCCCAACAAGTTTTTTATTAATTATAATACTTATTCGGAAGTAATTCATAAATGAATTTCTATTCTTTTTATTCTAATTATTATTTCTAAAGCCTAGACATGACAAAACTAGCAATAATTATTATTATTTCAGGATTCTTAAAATATAAAATAGAAATTATTAACATTAAAACCACTTTCTACTATAAATAAAGATCCACTTTTATTTTTAACATACTACTTACTCTTTGTAATTATATATATTTACAATCTTAAAAAATCAAAATTAAATTTGAAAATCTTATTTAGTCAACACGTTCCTTAAATTATAATTATTAATAATTTTTATCAAATCACTAAATTCAATCAAATTTTTTCTAAAAAAATTAGATTATTAAATTATATATTTTATTAATATTATTTTAAAAATAAACTACAAGAAAACTTATGCCCATTACATATAAATAATTGAGATAATTTCTATTTGAATTTAAAATAACATAAATAAGAAAAAAATAGATAAAGAGAAGTATAATGAATTAAATTAAGAATAAATTGAATGTATATATTAGTAATTTTAATAGTAAGAATAATTATAAATAATTAAATTGAATTTGATATATTTTGTATCTCATATAATTAATCATCAAAATATAATTATACTTTATCATATGAATTAAAATAATTTAAAGTTTTATTTTTAATACTTTAGTTTTGCTTTTGTAAAAATATATATAAATTAATTTGGAATTATTAATATAAAATAGTTTAATGTCTGATATAGCTATTTAATCAAATCCATAATCATTTTCATTTGAATTAATTAGAGAGAGTTCTATTAAATAGAAAGAATATTGTAGTGCAGTAGCTATAGATAAAAATAATCAACTAGTTTTGGCAACGGCTGACAAGGCTATAAAGGTTTTCTCTTTTAAAATGGAAAGACTTAAATAAATTCAATAATTAAATATGAATAAAATGGATGTTACAACATTAAATTGGTTTTTAAATAAGTCCTAATTTATAAATGGTTCAATTGATTCAACTATTCGAATTTCATCAACTAATGTAATCTCATCTGCTAAATATTTTTAATAATTGAAGGGTCATTAAAGTTGGATTACAAATATAATAATACATCCTAAAAATTAAGATGTCATCATATCAAGTTCTAATGATAGCTCAATAAGAGTTTGGTAAAATATTGAAAATTGGTAGTGTTGTTAAATAATTTAAGATTATTAAAAGGATATAAAAGGACTATCTATAAACTAAGAAGGTGATTAATTGTGTTCATGTTCAGGAGATTAATAAATTTTGATATTGAAACCAATAAATAATAAAAATTATTTTAAATGGTAAGTAAATTAGATAATTATGGTAGATTAATCTGGTTATCGAATTTGTTCTATAAATGATAAAGTATTCACATTTTAATAAGATTCAAATAATTATTTACATATATATACAAAAGATTAAAATGGATTATTTAGTAAAACAGGATAAATTAAAGTAGCAGGTGGAGAATAATCTTGTGATTATTTATTTCCATCCGTTTATCATTCTAGTAAATAGTTATTGATCAATAAGAATGGATACACAATCAATTTAATAAGAATATTTAATAAAAATGATTCTAATGATCAAATTAATATTGATTTTATATTAGAATAAATTATAGATTTTGGAGATTAATCTTACGGACATATATGGGGAACTCTTAGTTAAGATTAAAAATACTTGATAACATGGGATTGTGATTCATCAGAAATTTAAATTAGAAAATATACAGAAAAATTATGAAACAATTATATTATGTATAAACATAAATTATTATTTATAAGACAAAATTTCCTTAACTAATATTTTTATTATTTATTTCATTTTATTGTTTTCATATTTTAAAGTATTTTAATTCATTTTTATATTTATTAAAAGACAATTTAATTTATTTCAAAAAAAGTTAAATATATAGTTATAATATTCTAAAAATATTGATATTTTTAAAATTCAATATTTTTTATTAATCATAATTATTACTATTTATTTACATTTGATTTTTTAATTTTGTGACTTTGTTAATTATTTATGTATTTTGATTTTTAGAATTTTTTTTTTCTTTTAAAAAATTATTCATTTAAAATATAAAAGATGTGTTATGTACTCATTAAAT